TGCTGGGAAGGTTGCCTGCTGGTGCTGGTCGACGCTGCTGGGAGGGTTGCCTGCTGGTGCTGGTCGACGCTGCTGGGAGGGTTGCCTGCTGGTGCTGGTCGACGCTGCTGCGAACGTTGCCTGCTGGTGCTGGTCGACGTTGCTGCGAAGGTTGCCTGCTGGTGCTGGTCGACGCTGCTGCGAAGGTTGCCTGCTGGTGCTGGTCGACGCTGCTGCGAAGGTTGCCTGCTGGTGCTGGTCGACGTTGCTGGGAGGGTTGCCTGCTGGTGCTGGTCGACGTTGCTGCGAAGGTTGCCTGCTGGTGCTGGTCGACGCTGCTGGGAGGGTTGCCAGCTGGCGCTGGTCGACGCTGCTGGGAGGGTTGCCTGCTGGTGCTGGTCGACGCTGCTGGGAGGGTTCCCGGCTGGTGCTGGTCGACGTTCCTGGGAAGGTTGCCTGCTGGTGCTGGTCGACGCTGCTGGGAGGGTTGCCTGCTGGTGCTGGTCGACGCTGCTGGGAGGGTTGCCTGCTGGTGCTGGTCGACGCTGCTGGGAAGGTTGCCTGCTGGCGCTGGTCGACGCTGCTGGGAGGATTGCCTGCTCGTGCTGGTCGACGCTGCTGGGAGGGTTGCCTGCTGGTGCTGGTCGACGCTGCTGGGAGGGTTGCCTGCTGGCGCTGGTCGACGCTGCTGGGAAGGTTGCCTGCTGGCGCTGGTCAACGCTGCTGGGAAGGTTGCCTGCTGGCGCTGGTCGACGCTGCTGGGAGGGTTGCCTGCTGGTGCTGGTCGACGCTGCTGGGAGGGTTGCCGGCTGGTGCTGGTCGACGTTCCTGGGAAGGTTGCCTGCTGGTGCTGGTCGACGCTGCTGGGAAGGTTACCTGTTGGTGCTGGTCGACGCTGCTGGGAAGGTTGCCTGCTGGCGCTGGTCGACGCTGCTGGGAGGATTGCCTGCTGGTGCTGGTCGGCGCTGCTGGGAAGGTTGCCTGCTGGTGCTGGTCGACGCTGCTGGGAAGGTTGCCTGCTGGTGCTGGTCGACGCTGCTGGGAAGGTTGCCTGCTGGTGCTGGTCGACGCTGCTGGGAAGGTTGCCTGCTGGCGCTGGTCGACGCTGCTGGGAGGGTTGCCTGCTGGTGCTGGTCGACGCTGCTGGGAGGGTTGCCTGCTGGTGCTGGTCGACGCTGCTGGGAGGGTTGCCTGCTGGTGCTGGTCGACGTTCCTGGGAGGGTTGCCTGCTGGTGCTGGTCGACGCTGCTGGGAAGGTTACCTGTTGGTGCTGGTCGACGCTGCTGGGAAGGTTGCCTGCTGGTGCTGGTCGACGCTGCTGGGAGGGTTGCCTGCTGGTGCTGGTCGACGTTCCTGGGAGGGTTGCCTGCTGGTGCTGGTCGACGCTGCTGGGAAGGTTACCTGTTGGTGCTGGTCGACGCTGCTGGGAAGGTTGCCTGCTGGTGCTGGTCGACGCTGCTGGGAGGGTTGCCTGCTGGTGCTGGTCGACGCTGCTGGGAGGGTTGCCTGCTGGCGCTGGTCGACGCTGCTGGGAAGGTTGCCTGCTGGTGCTGGTCGACGCTGCTGGGAGGGTTGCCTGCTGGTGCTGGTCGACGCTGCTGGGAAGGTTACCTGTTGGTGCTGGTCGACGCTGCTGGGAAGGTTGCCAGCTGGTGCTGGTCGACGCTGCTGGGAGGGTTGCCTGCTGGTGCTGGTCGACGTTCCTGGGAGGGTTGCCTGCTGGTGCTGGTCGACGCTGCTGGGAAGGTTACCTGTTGGTGCTGGTCGACGCTGCTGGGAAGGTTGCCTGCTGGTGCTGGTCGACGCTGCTGGGAGGGTTGCCTGCTGGTGCTGGTCGACGCTGCTGGGAGGGTTGCCTGCTGGCGCTGGTCGACGCTGCTGGGAGGGTTGCCTGCTGGTGCTGGTCGACGCTGCTGGGAAGGTTGCCTGCTGGTGCTGGTCGACGCTGCTGGGAAGGTTACCTGTTGGTGCTGGTCGACGCTGCTGGGAGGGTTGCCTGCTGGTGCTGGTCGACGCTGCTGGGAGGGTTGCCTGCTGGTGCTGGTCGACGCTGCTGGGAAGGTTGCCTGCTGGTGCTGGTCGACGCTGCTGGGAAGGTTACCTGTTGGTGCTGGTCGACGCTGCTGGGAGGGTTGCCTGCTGGTGCTGGTCGACGCTGCTGGGAAGGTTACCTGTTGGTGCTGGTCGACGCTGCTGGGAGGGTTGCCTGCTGGCGCTGGTCGACGCTGCTGGGAAGGTTGCCTGCTGGTGCTGGTCGACGCTGCTGGGAGGGTTGCCTGCTGGTGCTGGTCGACGCTGCTGGGAGGGTTGCCTGCTGGTGCTGGTCGACGCTGCTGGGAAGGTTGCCTGCTGGTGCTGGTCGACGCTGCTGGGAGGGTTGCCTGCTGGTGCTGGTCGACGCTGCTGGGAAGGTTACCTGTTGGTGCTGGTCGACGCTGCTGGGAAGGTTGCCTGCTGGTGCTGGTCGACGCTGCTGGGAGGGTTGCCTGCTGGTGCTGGTCGACGCTGCTGGGAGGGTTGCCTGCTGGTGCTGGTCGACGCTGCTGGGAGGGTTGCCTGCTGGCGCTGGTCGACGCTGCTGGGAAGGTTGCCTGCTGGTGCTGGTCGACGCTGCTGGGAGGGTTGCCTGCTGGTGCTGGTCGACGCTGCTGGGAGGGTTGCCTGCTGGTGCTGGTCGACGTTCCTGGGAGGGTTGCCTGCTGGTGCTGGTCGACGCTGCTGGGAAGGTTGCCTGCTTGGCGCTGGTCGACATTCCCCACCCAGAGAACCATGACAAAAGCACACCATCGACCAGGTTAATATGTTAATATTTAACTAATACATCTGCCACCCGACTGATACGATGTTTCTTTCGTACGGTGTAAAAACAAAAATTCACTTTGAATTAATATTGTATTCTGTGATTTTATGTGTAATTAGGCTAAGGTTAGAATAGGTTAGGTTAAGTTAGGCATTTTGGTTACATTAATTTCCAGTGTTAGAATGCAACCATTAGATTACTAGTAGTAGGCATCCATCAGTCTCAGGAGACTATGGAGTTGTGCTCTGGATATCGGTCTGGAGTGGCCTCTCCAGGGCACAAAGCCAGGGTAGGTTGATACGGGGGAGTTGTTACCCATCTAGCTGGTCCCCCCTCTCCACGGCGCCGAAAGTCTCCAAAGGTGTTTACATTACTAATTCTATATATATAAAAATGTAACTGTTCATTTGTTGAAAATCGCTAATCTTTGAAAGTTCTTCACCGATTGCTTTGAAAATTTGACACAACGTTCCATTCGCATCCGAGCCGGGTTTTTATACACATACTTTATAGATCTCAAGTCTGTGATAGGGAAAAAAAAAACATTTTTTTTTTTAAACTGTGTTTTTCATGGGTTTTCATGTGAGGGAAACCTTCGAAAGCTCGTTAGCGATTGCTTTGAAATTTTGACGCAACGTTGCATTCGAATAGGCGCGCGTTTTTATATACCTACTATATAGATGCCACACCTGCGACAGGTAAAAACATACTTTTTTGAAAACTGCCATTTGTTGGACGTAATAGCAACACACGCTATACTAAATATGTTACGATTCCATTTCAACGTTTCCGATTGAATTGACAAATTGAATTTTCATAAATTTCGATTTATTTTCATTTTGATTTGATTATTTTGTGTGACATTGCGTTGGAATTGAGCTGTGTTGTTTACCATACCATTCATTTTGTGAGTACAGTTTATTTTGTTATTTTTTTAAGTGTTTTTTATTTCGTTTTTTAACTGCTTTTCTTATATTTTAGTGATGGGAACATCAGATCACTTGATGTTCACAATTTTCAGATGGGAACATCGGATCATTTGGGAAGGCATTGGACGAGGAAGTGGGGAATGGTGGGGAGGACGAGGGGACAGGGGAGAGGGTAATGGTGGGTAGGACGAGGGGATGGGGGAGTTGGGGATGGTGGGGACGAGCGGACTGGAGAATGGAGAATGGTGGGGAGGACAAGGGGAGAGGGGAGTGGGGCGTGGTGGGGAGGACGAGGGGATGGGGCAGGGGGGAATGGTGGGGAGGACTGGGAGACAGGGGAAGGTTGCTGTGGCTCAGCAACGCACATGCGTGGCTGAGCCACAGCAACACGTGGCCGGGTACAGCTAGTAATGTATAAAGATAATACTATTAGAACTAGAAGGGTAGTAGGAGAGTTTCTAATAAATATTCTGAATACTTTCTCTGGTGAAAAAATAACTTTACTTCGAAGGATAGCTTTACTAGAAAAAATTCATCTACGTGAATTAAAATTAGATCTGAACAAATGTATGCATGTCAGTAGTGGCAACACCCACTTTCCTTTGGGTGTGGATGGAGTTATGAGGGATAACATCCAGATGAACACTTCTATTAATAACAACTCTATTAATAACAACTCTATTAATAACAACTCTATTAATAACAATTCTATTAATAACAACTCTTTTAATAACTCAGTTCCCAGAACACCAGGATAACAGAAAGGTCACGTGACCACATTACCGTAGAAGACATTACCGCAGGAACATCACCAGTCGGGAATAGTGGTGACCTCAGGTCAGCAGGTCAAGGATAGCAGGACTGCACCCAGGATAACAGCCCCATTAGACCTTAAGATGTTAGTCTCGTCCTAACTACACACTCAGACCTTGACAAAGCACTCAGTGCTTTGTCAAGGACTGCGAAGGACTTGGTGTAATTTCTTTACATAAACTTCACAAATACGAGTGTGTGTTTTTTTTATCCAATTATAATAATTTATTGAGATAATGTTATCATCATCTTCATCTTTATCTTCATGGCTATCATCACCATCCCCATCCTCGTCGGTGTTCAAGTTCATGTATGTTTATTGAGATAAGCAATAAATACATCTCAAAGGGATAGAGTATCCTGTCACCATCCTTAGTGCTATGACTATCACCATCCTTGTCGGTGTCACTCGTCGGCGTCACTATTTCCCTATAGTGACAATTACATTATCTTCTAACACAACGTCGTCGGTCGTTGCCATGGTTCCAATCACTGGCATGGTTCCAATTGTAGCCATGGTTCCAATCGTTGCTATGGTTCCGATCGTCGCCATGGTTCCAGGCGTTGCAATGGTTCCAATCAGTCATGGTTCCAATCGTTGCAGGGTTCCAATCGTTGCCATTATTCCAATCGTTACCATGGTTCCAATCGTTTCCATGGTTCCAATTGCTGTCATGGTTCTAATCGTTGCCATGGTTCCAATAGTTTCCATGGTTCCAACTGCTGTCATGGTTCCAATCATTGTCATGGTTCCAATCGTTGCCATGGTTCCAATCGTTGTCATAATTCCAATCGTTGCCATGGTTCCAATCGTTGACATGGTTCAAATCACTGACATGGTTCCAATCGTTGCCATAGTTCCAATCGTTGCCATAGTTCCAATCGTTGCCATGGTTCCGATCGTTGCCATGGTTCCAATCGTTGACATGGTTCATATCACTGATATGGTTCCAATCGTTGCCATGGTTCCAATCGTTGCCATGGTTGAGATCAGTGGTACGGAACAAGGCAGTTAGCGCGGCGAGTCATCACGAAGGATGATGACAATAACTGTCCTCCAACAGGGCCTTCCGGAGGAGGTAATTAGCCAACACAACATTTGATACGCCGCTCGACGCCCTCAACACAACTCTTCACATCAACTGCGAATCTTAATTAAAACTCAGAAAATCCTCTTCGAGAAGATATTGCGAGTATTGCAATATCAGGCAAGTATTGCAAGTTGTGGTGTTCACAACACAGGATGAAGAGGGTGCAGGGTTGGAGGCAGGCGGACAACACGTGTGTGTGTCTGTGTGTGTGTGTGTGTGTGTGTGTGTGTGTGTGTGTGTGTGTGTGTGTGTGTGTGTGTGTGTGTACTCACCTAGTTGCGTTTGCGGGGGATGAGCTCTGGCTCTTTGGTCCCGCCTCTCAACCGTCAATCAACAGGTGTACAGGTTCCTGAGCCTATTGGGCTCTATCAAATCTACACTTGAAACTGTGTATGGAGTCAGCCTCCACCACATTACTTCCTAATGCATTCCATTTGTCAACCACTCTGACACTAAAAAAGTTCTTTCTAATATCTCTGTGGCTCATTTGGGCACTCAGTTTCCGCCTGTGTCCCCTTGTGTGTGTGCCCCTTGTGTTAAATAGCCTGTCTTTATCTTCCCTATCAGTTCCCTTCAGAATCTTTAATGTGGTGATCATGTCCCCCCTAACTCTTCTGTCTTCCAGCGAAGTGAGGTTTAATTCCCGTAGTCTCTCCTCGTAGCTCATACCTCTCAGCTCGGGTACTAGTCTGGTGGCAAACCTTTGAACCTTTTCCAGTTTAGTCTTATCCTTGACTAGATATGGACTCCATGCTGGGGCTGCATACTCCAGGAATGGCCTGACATATGTGGTATACAAAGTTCTGAATGATTCTTTACACAAGTTTCTGAATGCCGTTCGTCTGTTGGCCAGCCTGGCATATGCCGCTGATGCTATCCTCTTGATATGGGCTGCAGGAGACAGGTCTGGTGAGATATCAACCCCCAAGTCTTTTTCTTTCTCTGACTCCTGAAGAATTTCCTCTCCCAGATGATACCTTGTATCTGGCCTCCTGCTCCCTACACCTATCATCATTACATTACATTTGGTTGGGTTAAACTCTAACAACCATTTGTTCGACCATTCCTTCAGCTTGTCTAGGTCTTCTTGAAGCCTCAAACAGTCCTCTTCTGTCTTAATCCTTCTCATAATTTTGGCATCGTCCGCAAACATTGAGAGAAATGAATCTATGTGTGTACTCACCTAGTTGTGCTTTCAGGATCGAGCACTGGCTCTTGGATCCCGCCTTTCCAGCCATCGGTTGTTTACAGCAATGACTCCTGTCCCATTACCCTATCATACCTAATTTTAAAATTATGAATAGAGTTTGCTTCCACAACCTGTTCCCCAAGTGCATTCCATTTTTCCACTACTTTCACGCTAAAAGAAAACTTCCTAACATCTCTGTGACTCATCTGAGTTTCCAGATTCCACCCATGTCCCCTCGTTCTGTTATTATTACGTGTGAACACTTCATTTATTTCCACTTTGTCAATTCCCCTGAGTATTTTATATGTTCTTATCATATCTCCTCTCTCCTTTCTTTTCTCTAATGTTGTAAGGTTTAGTTCCCTCAGACGTTCTTCATATCCCATCCCTCGTAACTCTGGGACAAGCCTCGTCGAAAACCTCTGAACCTTCTCCAGTTTCCTTTTGTGTTTCTTCAGGTGGGGGCTCCATGATGGCGCGGCATACTCTAAGACTGGTCTCACGTAGGCAGTTTAAAGCGCCCTAAAAGCCTCCTCACTTAGGTATCTGAATGAAGTTCTAATTTTCGCCAGTGTAGAGTACGCTGCTGTTGTTATCCTATTTATATGTGCCCCAGGAGTTAGATTAGGTGTCACATCCACTCCTAGGTCTTTTTCTCGAATCGCTACAGGTAGGCAGTTCCCCTTCATTGTGTACTGTCCCTTTGGTCGTCTATCACTTGATCCCATTTCCATAACTTTACATTTACTGGTGTTGAACTCCAGTAGCCATTTCCCTGACCATCTCTGCAACCTGTTTAAGTCCTCTTGGAGGATCCTACAATCCTCATCTGTCACAACTCTTCTAATTAATTTTGCGTCATCCGCAAACATTGACATGTATGATTCCACTCCTGTAAACATAACATTTACGTAAATTAGAAAGAGGATTGGTCCCAGCACCGATCCTTGAGGTACTCCACTCGTTACTGTTCGCCAGTCCGACTTCTCGCCCCTTACCATTACCCTCTGGCTCCTACCTGTTAGGTAGTTCCTCACCCATGCTAGGGCCTTTCCTGTGTGTGTGTGTGTGTGTATGTGTGTGTTTGTGTGTGTGTGTGTGTGTGTGTGTGTGTGTGTGTGTGTGTCTGTGTGTGTGTGTGTGTGTGTGTGTGTGTCGCCATAACAGCCTAGCGTGCTGGTTGGTTGCAAATGAAGCTTGCAGCGATGAGAATCATGATACACAAGGCCAAGCTTGCTGCTGAAATTGGAGTATTCATCGTGTTAGACGGGAATGTTGTTAGAGGGGTCGTTATTGCATTTCAAGTGGGTAAGGGGTGCGGGTGGGGGGGTTGCATGGTAGGGGGGAAGGGGTGATGGGGGAACATGAAAGCGTGGTGTCAGATATGGCGTTGATGAGGGCGTCGGTCGGCCAGCGAGGGCGTGGGTCGGCTAGGGAGGGCGTGAGTCGGCCAGCGAGGGCGTGAGTCGGCCAGGGAGGGCGTGAGTCGGCCAGCGAGGGCGTGGCAGGCGTATTAACGCAGCAAAACACGCCGCCTGAAGGGCAATCAACCAGTTGAAATGGAATATGCAGCAGATGAATCTGCAACATGCAGAAGGTGGTAATACTGGACGACTACACCTGAGAACCGCTGGGCAACACCGCGCCTCACTACAGCCTCGTGATAATGGCTGCCTCAACCTCACCAAAATCAAATGGGGAGAAGAAGAATTTCTGCGCCTCCTCGCATAGAGGTAATTGTGAGCCCGGAGCTCTTACGGGCGACAAACGGGTCTGATCTCCGCTAAACTGCTTCTCCAATGGCTCCTACTGGATGAAAACCACATGCGCCGATAACATTGGCTGATACGCTGTAATTAATGGCACGCTTGCTGGCTTGATTGTTTTGTGGCAGTGGTGCCTGGGTTGTGGGGGTGCTGGTGTTGTGGGGGTGCTGGTGTTGTGGTGTGTTGTGGGGGTACTGGTGTTGTGGTGTGTTGTGGGAGTGCTGGTGTTGTGGTGTGTTGTGGGAGTGCTGGTGTTGTGGTGTGGTGTGGGGGTGTTGGTGTTGTGGGGGTGCTGAAGTTGTGTGTTGTGGGAGTGCTGGTGTTGTGAGGGTGCTGGTGTTGTGGGAGTGCTGGTGTTGTGGTGTGTTGTGGGAGTGCTGGTGTTGTGGTGTGTTGTGGGGGTGTTGGTGTTGTGGGGGTGCTGAAGTTGTGTGTTGTGGGAGTGCTGGTGTTGTGAGGGTGCTGGTGTTGTGGTGTGTTGTGGGAGTGCTGGTGTTGTGGTGTGTTGTGGGAGTGCTGGTGTTGTGAGGGTGCTGGTGTTGTGGTGTGTTGTGGGAGTGCTGGTGTTGTGAGGGTGCTGGTGTTGTGGGGGTGCTGGTGTTGTGGTGTGTTGCGGGGGTGCTGGTGTTGTGGTGAGTTGCGGGGGTGCTGGTGTTGTGGGAGTGCTGGTGTTGTGGTGTGTTGTGGGAGTGCTGGTGTTGTGAGGGTGCTGGTGTTGTGGTGTGTTGTGGGAGTGCTGGTGTTGTGGTGTGTTGTGGGAGTGCTGAAGTTGTGTGTTGTGGGAGTGCTGGTGTTGTGAGGGTGCTGGTGTTGTGGTGTGTTGTGGGGGTGCTGAAGTTGTGTGTTGTGGGAGTGCTGGTGTTGTGAGGGTGCTGGTGTTGCGGGGGTGCTGGTGTTGTGGTGAGTTGCGGGGGTGTTGGTGTTGTGGGAGTGCTGGTGTTGTGGTGTGTTGTGGGGGTGCTGGTGTTGTGCTGGTGTTGTGGGGGTGCTGGTGTTGTGGGGGTGCTGGTGTTGTGGGGGTGCTGGTGTTGTGAGGGTGCTGGTGTTGTGGGGGTGCTGGTGTTGTGGGGGTGCTGGTGTTGTGGGGGTGCTGGTGTTGTGGGGGTGCTGGTGTTGTGGGAGTGCTGGTGTTGTGGGGGTGCTGGTGTTGTGGTGGTGCTTGTGTTGTGGGGGTGCTGGTGTTGTGGGGGTGCTGGTGTTGTGGGAGTGCTGGTGTTGTGGGGGTGCTGGTGTTGTGGGAGTACTGGTGTTGTGGGGGTGCTGGTGTTGTGGGAGTACTGGTGTTGTGGGGGTGCTGGTGTTGTGGGGGTGCTGGTGTTGTGGGAGTGCTTGTGTTGTGATGTGTTGTGGGGGTGCTGGTGTTGTGGGGGTGCTTGTGTTGTGATGTGTTGTGGGGGTGCTGGTGTTGTGGGGGTGCTTGTGTTGTGATGTGTTGTGGGGGTGCTTGTGTTGTGATGTGTTGTGGGGGTGCTGGTGTTGTGAGGGTGCTGGTGTTGTGGGGGTGCTGGTGTTGTGGGGGTGCTGGTGTTGTGGTGAGTTGCGGGGGTGCTGGTGTTGTGGTGGTGCTGGTGTTGTGGGGGGTGCTGGTGTTGTGGGGGTGCTGGTGTTGTGGTGGTGCTGGTGTTGTGGGGGTGCTGGTGTTGTGGTGGTGATGGTGTTGTGGGGGTGCTGGTGTTGTGGTGGTGCTGGTGTTGTGGGGGTGCTGGTGTTGTGGTGGTGCTGGTGTTGTGGGGGTGCTGGTGTTGTGGGGGTGCTGGTGTTGTGGGGGTGATGGTGTTGTGGGGGTGCTGGTGTTGTGGTGGTGCTGGTGTTGTGGGGGTGCTGGTGTTGTGGTGGTGCTGGTGTTGTGGGGGTGCTGGTGTTGTGGTGGTGCTGGTGTTGTGGGGGTGCTGGTGTTGTGGTGGTGCTGGTGTTGTGGGGGTGCTGGTGTTGTGGTGGTGATGGTGTTGTGGGGGTGCTGGTGTTGTGGT